TACCCATCCTTGGCCCCATCGGGTTGGCAAAGTTAGGTCCCCGTCGGGGATGGGGAAAATTGCTATCCCTAAAGGTGTCTTCTAGTAAATGACCGTAATAGAAACACATAAGAGTATACAATTGTTTTATATTTTCAACTTTTTAAATAATTAATAATTATTCATATTTTATATATTACTTTTAATAAATTATTTATAATACAAAAATAACAATAATTAATTTCAGTCAGGTTTATTCATCAAACTAATGAAACTGACCAACCTGATCAATTCGACTTGAGTTGCTCGGTTCTAGTATTTTAGGTCATCTTTGGTTCAAAAATTTCCCAATTCGATCAAGTTGGATTAATTTCACTTTGGCCATATGTAAACCGACCAAAATCGAACGACCTAACTATGGATATATATTAATATTTTGTATTTTAAATATAATTTTTAATATGAAAAAGTGGGAAATTTCCCATATTTCTTAGTCTAAAATGTTTTATATCATAAACCTAATTTTTAAATTTATTTTTTAATAATTGCACTATAATTTTTAAAATTAAATTTATTTTTTAAGTTTAAATCTTTTGAACCAACTAACTAAACCAAAAAATTGATCCAAACCGATACAACTTGAGTGGGTTGGATTTCACAAAAGGTGAATCGGTTTCAGCTGACCAACTCCCCAACTTGGCCAAGTCAATTTGGTTGGCCAAATAGCCTACTACCAAACCGAACCAACTCACAAACTTTCATAATTTCAGCTAAATTAATAGTCTCATCTTTGATAAATAAGAATAGTTTAATCTCCAATAATTATTGAAAATTTATAGCAAAAATACACAATTATTGAAAATATATTGATAATGAAAAAAATACAATAATTAGAAAAATACAATAAGTACTAAAAATATATTAACTTAGTCAATAAATAGTATAATCTCAAATAATAGTTTAATCTCTAATAAAAATTAATCAGTAAGTTATAACAAAAATATAATAAATACAATAAGTACAATAAATTAAATTTAAAAATTTCAATAATAGTAGTTTAATCTCCAATGGTTATTAAAAGTTTTCTGTTAAATATTAAAACAAAATAAATTTATACATAATCATTGAAAATACATTTATCACAAAAAACAATAAATAATTACTGTAATACAATAAATATTAATTTTAGTATATTACAAATACAGATTAAGAGTTCAAAATTATTATAAATAAATATTATTTTTTGAAAGTTATGTTCTCGAATTATTACTTGGTATAATTGAAATTAGTTATTTACAATATTATGTAAAAATATTAAATTATTATTAATTTCAATATTATGTTATAATTAATTTTCTGATTTTCAGAATTTTTTAAATTTATTACATAATTTCTTTATTTTAACTATTTAAAATATAGTTATGTTAAATATTTTGTTATTTAAAATATTTATTTATTTATTTATTTATTTAAATACTTAAATAATATGTAAATTATTTAAATATTAAAATATGAATTATTTATTGAATTTAATTATCCATAAAATCATAATTTATACTATTATTACATAATTTCATTATTAATTTTGTAATATATTAAATTATTATTAATTTCAATATTATGTAATAAATATTTTTCTACTTTGAAGTTTTTTTTTTTAAAATTTATTACAGAATTTCGTTATTTTAACT